ACTGTACCCCAGTGAGAGTCAGTGTGTGTGGGACTGTACCCCAGTGACAATCAGTGTGTGTGGGACTCCGTACCCCAGTGAGAGTCAGTGTGTGGGTAAATCTGTACCCCTCTAAGAGTCTGCGTGTATGTAATTCTGTACCCCAGTTAGAGTCAGCGTGTGTGAGACTGTACCCCAGTAAGAGTCAGTGTTTGTGGGACTGTACCCCAGTGAGAGTCAGTGTGTGTGGGTCTGTACCACAGTGAGAGACAGTGTGTGTGGGACCCCGTACCCCAGTGAGAGTCAGTGTGTGTGGGACTGTACCCCATTGAGAGTCAGTGTATGTGGGACCCTGGTGTACCCCAGTGAGAGTCAGAGGGTGTGGGACTGTACCCCAGTGAGAGTCAGTGTGTGTGAGACTTTACCCCAGTCAGAGCCAGTGTGCGTGGGACTGTACCCCAGTGAGAGTCAGTGTGTGTGTAACTCCAGACCCCAGTGAGAGTCAGTGTCTGTGAGACTGTACACCAGTGAGAATCAGTGTGTGTGGGACCGTACCCCAGTGAGAGTCAGTGTGTGTGGGACCGTACCCCAGTGAGAGTCAGTGTGTGTGGGTCTGTACCCCAGTGAGAGTCATTGTGTGTGGTACCCTGGTGTACCCCAGTGAGAGTCAGTGTGTGTGTAACTCTGTACCCCAGTAAGAGTCAATGTGTGTCTAACTCTGTACCCCAGTTAGAGTCAGTGTGTGTGAGACTGTACCCCAGTAAGAGTCAGTGTCTGTGGGACTATACCCCGGTGAGAGTCAGTGTGAGTGGGACTGTATCCCAGTGAGAATCAGTGGGTGTGGGACTGTGCCCCATTGAGAGTCAGTGTATGTGGGACCCTGGTGTACCCCAGTGAGAGTCAGCGTGTGTGGGACTGTACACCAGTGAGAATCAGTGTGTGTGGGACTTTACCCCAGTGAGAGTCATTGTGTATGTAACTCTGTACCCCAGTGAGAGTCAGTGTCTGTGATACTGTACACCAGTGAGAATCAGTGTCTGTGGGTCTGTACCACAGTGAGTGTCAGTGTGTGTGGGACTGTGCCCCATTGTGAGTCAGTGTATGTGGGACCCTGGTGTACCCCAGTGAGAGTCAGAGTGTGTGGGACTGTATCCCAGTGAGAATCGGTGTGTGTGGGACTGTACCCCAGTGAGAGTCAGTGTGTGTGGTTATGTACCCCAGTAAGAGTCAGTTTGTGTGGGACTGTACCCCAGTAAGAGTCAGTGTGTGTGCGACTGTACCCCAGTGAGAGTCAGCGTGTGTGGGACTGTACCCCAGTGAGAGTCAGCGTGTGTGTGGTACTGTACCCCAGTGAGAGTCAGTGTGTGTGGGACTGTACCCCAGTGAGAGTCAGTGTGTGTGGGACTGTACCCCAGTGAGAGTCAGTGTGTGTGGTACCCCAGTGAGAGTCAGTGTGTGTGGGACTGTACCCCTTTGAGAGTCAGTGTGTGTGGGTCCCTACCCCAGTGAGAGTCAGTGTGTGTGGGACTGTACCCCAGTGAGAGTCAGTGTGTGTGGGACCATACCCCAGTGAGACTCAGTGTGTGTGGGACTGTACCCAAGTGAGAGTCAGTGTGTGTGTAACTCCGTACCCCAGTGAGAGTCAGTGTGTGTGGGACTGTACCCCGGTGAGAGTCAGTGTGTGTGGGACTGTACCCCAGTGAGAGTCAGTGTGTGTGGGTCCGTACCCCAGTGACAGTCAGTGTGTGTGGGACTGTACCCCAGAGATAGTCAGTTTATGTGGGACTGTACCCCAATGACAGTCAGTGTGTGTGTAAGTCTGTACCCCAGTAAGAGTCAGTGTGTGTGTAACTCTGTACCCCAGTTAGAGTCAGTGTGTGTGAGACTGTACCCCAGTAAGCATCAGTGTTTGTGGGACTGTACCCCAGTGTGAGTCAGTGTGTGTTGGACTTTACCCAAGTGAGAGTCAGTGTGGTGGGCCATACCGCAGTGGGAGTCAGTGTGTGTGGGACCGTACCCCAGTCAGAGTCACTGTGTGTGCGACTGTACTCCAGTGAGAGTCAGTGTGTGTAACTCTGTACCCCAGTGAGAGTCAGTGTCTGTGAGACTGTACCCCAGTGAGAGTCAGTGTGTGTGGGGCCGTACCCCAGTGAGAGTCAGTGTGTGTGGGACTGTACACGAGTGAGACTCGGTGTGGGACTGTACCCCAGTGAGAGTCAGTGTGTGTGGGACTGTACACCAGTGAGACTCAGTGTGTGTGGGACTGTACCCCAGTGAGAGTCAGTGTGTGTGGGACCCCGTACCCCAGTGAGAGTCAGGGTATGTGGGACTGTATCCCAGTGAGAGTCAGTGTGTGTGGGACCGTACCCCAGTCAGAGTCAGTGTGTGTGGGACTGTACCCCAGTGAGAATCAGTGTGTGTGTAACTCTGTACCTCAGTGAGAGTCAGTGTGTGTGGGACTGTACCCCAGTGATAGTCAGTGTGTGTGGGAGTGTACCCCAGTGAGAATCAGTGAGTTTGGGACTGTGCCCCATTGAGAGTCAGTGTATGTGGGACCCTGGTGTACCCCAGTGAGAGTCAGAGTGTGTGTGGGACTGTACCCCATTGAGAGTCAGTGTGTTGGGCCATACCCCAGTGGGAGTCAGTGTGTGTGGGACTGTACCCCAGTGAGAGTCAGTGTGTGTGTAACTCTCTACCCCAGTGAGAGTCAGTGTCTGTGATACTGTACACCAGTGAGAATCAGTGTGTGTGGGACTGTATCCCAGTGAGAATCGGTGTGTGTGGGACTGTACCCCAGTGAGTGTCAGTGTGTGTGGGAACCCGTACCCCAGTGAGAGTCAGTGTGTGTGGGATAGTACCCCAGTGAGAGGCAGTGTGTGTGGGACTGTACCCCCGTGAGATGCAGTGTGTGTGGGACTGTACCCCAGTGAGAGTCAGTGTGTGTGGCACTGTACCCCAGTGAGAGTCAGTGTGTGTGGGACTGTACCCCAGTAAGAGTCAGTGTTTGTGGGACTGTACCCCAGTGAGAGTCAGTGTGTGTAGGTCTGTACCACAGTGAGAGACAGTGTGTGTGGGACTGTACCCCAGTGAGAGTCAGTGTGTATGTAACTCTTTACCCCAGTGAGAGTCAGTGTCTGTGAGACTGTCCACCAGTGAGAGTCAGTGTGTGTGTAACTCTGTACCCCAGTGAGAGTCAGTGACTGTGAGACTGTA